ACACAGTTCCATAATTTTGTCCATTTTTTTCGTGTTAAAGACCAAATATCTATGCATGACTAACTGTGTCTGTGTGAAAATGCACATATAAATCTGCTTTAGCAATCAGAGACAGACATTTTTACAGTGTGATGTCTTCTATCTTTCCCTCTACTATAATTTCCTTTGTAAAGACCATTTTAGTAGGCATTCCTTCAAAATCAAGACCTTTTAGAGTCTGACAGTTTGATAGCAGCCCCATTTAAATAATCAAATGTACAATCATTACCAGATATTCTGCATCTAACGGCAAAGTAACAGTGGGCCAATTCTCATATTGCTAACACTATTTTATGGCTTGTTACAAAGAAATGTTCAAGATAACATGTAAATGTTACTAACTGTACATGTTATTAACTATACAAATGTAAATGTTAATAACTGTATACATGTAAATGTTAATAACTGTATACTAAGCATGCTTACAAGCTAGAATTCAACTGTTATAAGAAAGTATTAAAGTGAAATCTTTGCATATAGTATTATTCTGCGCTGTGCTTCCAGGAGTGTGTTTGATTTGCTCAGTGGCATGTTCTGAATGTAGTTTAGAAACTGTCCCACTCAATTTGGAAATTGGCAATTACTTATTAAAGTGACATGTATGGTCTGTAGTTTGCGCGTGTTTTTAATTTCTCCTTTATGTCGTTCCCCTCAGTACATACCATTACATATCCCAGCATTGCCCTTAGGATTCTTGGCACAATACATGTATTTATAACCTGACTGTTGACGTCTCCATTAAAGCCCAATCCTCCCCAGCCAGTCCCCTTCTCTCCCCCAGTGTTTTGGTTTCACATCTGCAGAGCCATACAGAGAACTCAGCATCTCCAGGGTTTGGGATTGGCTGGCCAATGTGGATATTTCCTCCCAGTTGGCGCTACACAAAGTTTAATAGTTGTACAAGTAGTACCCATGAGGCTAAACAGCCCATGCATTTGTAGTACTTCATCTCTAACTTCTATGAATGGCTGTTTGCTCTTCATTTTCCTTCAGATTCAGAGCATGACCAATGACCTTATTCAGTCTTCAATAATTCACAGCCCAAACCCAATGGTAAAATAATTCTGTCCTGGTTAGGGGAATTCTTTTTTTGTAAAGTGTCAACATCTTTGGCACATAGGTTGAATACTTTTGCAAACAAATTCAATCTCTATTCAATTTTCATAGAAACAGCTCAAAACCTCCCAGCAAGGCATGAAAACTAGAGCTCTAGAAAATGTCTAGAGCAAAATTGGACATGTCACTCAACATAAGCGAGTGCCCACTGAGCTATAAAACAACAAACACACTCTAATACATGGGTTTCAGCTACTCTAAACATGTACATTATTGTAGTGTTTAAAATTGTCTTATTGGAGTTATAATAAGTACAAGTCAAGATCTTAGTTACATTACCTTTCAGTTATTATATTTCCTTATTAAGTAGTCCTTCGTTCTGTAATTCGATTTCTCCTAGGGACTGTTTACGTTTATGTTATTTCCCATACATTATACCATTATATACTGGAAATCTAAACAGACTACGCTGGTATATTTTATGTAAACCAGCACTGTTAATTCTGATCTTTCTACTTCATATACTCCCACATAACCGTGAGTCGTAATTTACAGAGGAAGGAGTGTTCTCTATTAAAGTCAATATTCCAATAAATCTGTCCTTCAGACTTGCTCCATCTCTACAGACTGTGATGGCTAAACATACACAATATTTTCCACATGCATAATTCTCCACTGGCACCTATTAATTAATTAAAATTCTGTCATTTGCTGGCGTAGATGCCAAGGTCAATAGGATTCCACAGACACCACATATTGATGACCAAATGTTGTTAAAGCAAAGGCTGAATTACTATTAGGCACCAAACTTAAGAGTCTTGAAAATAAGACATTGGCTTAATAGGTTATTAGCAGAGTTGTCAGTAGCTAGCAGTCACTTATCACCACCAATGCTATCGTTAGCATGCTACATTTTGGTAGACTCCTTAATATTAACTAGCTAGTTCATGTTTAATTGTGTCTCAAAGAGAGTGTTTTATTTTCCAAGCCTCGGTAATGCACTATGTACCACAGCTTAGCACTAGTGTCCCATTTGGTCCTAACAGCTCTTCCCTTTGGCATTGTTCAGTGCTGATGCTCTCCTATTACTCGAGCCAGCTGCCCCCCCACACCTGTTGGCTGTCTCAGTCACAGCGCCCTCTCAACACACCCTCATCCGGTCCTTTTACTCACTCAGTAACGACCTGTCTCACAGTCTGATAGTGATGAGCCCAGGACACTCATTGTAATTCTGATCGAAAATTGCTTCCTGAGTGACTAAAATGTTTCCCGTAACATATGTTTTGACTTTTTTTTTTACCTCTCACTGCTAACTAACAGTGTGTTTGAATAGACAGGCTGAACGGAGGGAGCATTTATTCAAAAGCTCACTTAGACTGACAGATCTTTAAAAACACACTTGTGACCGTTGCCTGGTAACTAGAAAAACAATGGGCCACATTTCTCATTAATAACGTATGAGTCTGTAGTATGCCTAAACCCATATGGGCCACATTTCTCATTAATAACGTATGAGTCTGTAGTATGCCTAAACCCATAGGGGCCACATTTCTCATTAATAACGTATGAGTCTGTAGTATGCCTAAACCCATATGGGCCACATTTCTCATTAATAACGTATGAGTCTGTAGTATGCCTAAACCCATATGGGCCACATTCCTCATTAATAACGTATGAGTCTGCAGTATGCCTAAACCCATATGGGCCACATTTCTCATTAATAACGTATGAGTCTGTAGTATGCCTAAACCCATATGGGCCACATTTCTCATTAATATCGTATGAGTCTGTAGTATGCCTAAACCCATATGGGCCACATTTCTCATTAATAACATATGAGTCTGTAGTATGCCTAAACCCATATGGGCCACATTTCTCATTAATATCGTATGAGTCTGTAGTATGCCTAAACCCATATGGGCCACATTTCTCATTAATAACATATGAGTCTGTAGTATGCCTAAACCCATATGGGCCACATTTCTCATTAATAACATATGAGTCTGTAGTATGCCTAAACCCATATGGGCCACATTTCTCATTAATAACATATGAGTCTGTAGTATGCCTAAACCCATATGGGCCACATTTCTCATTAATAACATATGAGTCTGTAGTATGCCTAAACCCATATGGGCCACATTTCTCATTAATAACGTATGAGTCTGTAGTATGTGTTACGGGTATCAAAATCAGACACTACCGTAGCAAATGATTTTGGTTGGTGGTTAACTAATTCCACCCGTCGTTGGAATTATCCCTGGAAAACAGAATCATGGAATCAGTGAATGCCAGAGCGAACCACCATCCTTTCTCTCAAATCTCGATCTCTTTATTACAAATTTCACAACTTAGTCACTAAACAAATGTAACATTTCCGCGTGTGTAAACATGTTTCACTTTCAGTGCCCATATGTTATTTTCAACCTAAACACGTTAATACCGTTCTCTACATTCCACATATCCGTGGGCAACATATCTTACTCCAACATTCACATTCACAGACATATTCATGTCCTTATGAAAATAAACAACTCTTTCTTTAAGGTATAAACCTCTCAAAATAATAGATCAAGTTCTAAACTATATATACATACACACACATTCTTGTGTTCCTTTTAGCTGCAAAAATACCTCATACTGATGTGATCATTATAAAATATAGATTATATGCAAATGGCTTTAGTGACAAAACATGAATCATCATACACACAGGGACAACTGCTCAACTCATAAATACATTTTTTTTAAATACAATCCAACCATGTAACTACTTATCAACATTAACCACTATTTACAACTTGTCAGGACACCTCAATCACTTGCAACACACATCATCAAGAAGTGAGGACATCAAAACACATACTCATCCACATAGATACACTACTCCTACACTATTCAACTGCTCGTGCCACTGTTTACAATGCCCTTTTCCCGCCGTTGTAAATGCGGTTGTTTAATTCGGCTACACACATCAAACTTTACCTAAACACTCATTCAAGTTTTATTATATCACATACACTTCCGAAGGAAACTATTTTAACCCTCTTTCACTCAGTACCAACCTGGAAAACAGAATCATGGAATCAGTGAATGCCAGAGCGAACCACCATCCTTTCTCTCAAATCTCGATCTGAGAGAAAAGGCAGGTGTCCGTCACCTAGGTACTGCGCTGCAACAATACCCGCACTTTGGTTCCGCTTTGATTCGGATCCCCCAACATTAACATTTTATTACACAATAAAAGTCGCATTCTACAAAACAGTATGCTGATATTATTTACCACATAAAGGTGTATCACATATGCCTAAACCCATATGGGCCACATTTCTCATTAATAACATATGAGTCTGTAGTATGCCTAAACCCATATTTCTATGCAAAATACTTCTCATGTTTAAGGCAGATATTCATGGACCGTTGGATATCTGACAGAAAGCTTCTAAGAAATGAAAACATTTACTTGGATATACTTATAGAACACAGTTCAATGATTCTCATCATAGAAATTGTCATCTTAATTTTCATCTTAGAAGCTTAGACAAAATGTTCTAAAAACAAACAACAATAAGTCTACTGGGTACTTCTTTGGTCTTTTATGTGGTGAGAACCAACCTGAAGACCAATGCATGTTTGTTTTCCTCCATTAGTACTTGTATTTTTACTATTTAGTATGCCCGTGAAACAAACATCATTGAATGTTAAGGAATAATAGTTACGGGGTGTGACTTTGGATGTAGGATGTTTTACCGTATTAGGAAATTATTGTTTTGTTAGAGGGTTGTATCTCATTGTATAGGTACACAAACTAGTTAGTTGAAATACAGCAATTCAACTCAAATTGTAGTCATACTGGTCTACACATATTTTAGCTCTCCCATGAGCAGCTCTCCCTAGTGCAGTTAGTTGATAGCTCAGTGGTAAAGTGCATGCTTTGTATGTATGACATTCACGGTTTAATCCCCAGCTTCCACACAGGTCACTGTTGCAAATGAGACTTTGTTCTCAATCAAATATCAAATAACCCTAACTATAATTTCTATATTACATTGTTAATGATTTTTTATTTTCCAGACATTTACAAAATATAACCACATTTCTGCACAACCATAACTATTAACACATGTCAATACCTGCATATTTTTACCATTTCAATGAGTAAATTTATAAATAAGTGTATTTTTATTTATAAAGAATTCTGTGACAGTTGCGGCTGCTATAGGAATTAATAACCAATATGTGAGCCAAATTGTTAACATCATCTTTCTTAAGACTACAAGTTGGCACAAAGTATTCAAAGTTAAATAGAGCGGCTGTTTGCTATGACTTTTTGTCAAAGATGAGACCCAAGATGGTGGTGTTGTCTACAAACTTAATGATGGCATCGATGTGGCCAGACAGTCCTGTGTAAATAGGGTGTAAAAGAGGGAACTGAGTACGCACGAACAGAGCGTACGAGAGGGGAGTGAGTACGCAGCCCTGAGGTACTCCGGTGCTCACCGTCAATGCAGCGAATGTGATGTTGCCTATTGTCACCAGTCCAGGATCCAATTGCAAAGGGAGGTGGTAAGACCCAGGGACAAGCTTAGTATATAGTCCACAAACAGCATCCTCACGTATGTGTTAGCCTTTTCCAGTTTGGCGATGGCAGTTTGTATCGTCAGGGTGATGGCATCGACCGTAGAACTATCTGGGCGGTATGCAAATTGAAAGGGGTCCAAGGTCTCTAGAAGATGTGAGTTTGAAACACTTCATGACAATGGAGAGCAGTGATACAGGGCGGTAGTCATTCAAGTAGGTGAGGGAATGTTTCTTTGGTACAGGAACAATGGTGATCTGTTTGAAGCAGGTGGGGACTGACAGCTGAGTCAGGCAGAGGTTGAATATAGAGGTGAATACCTCCGCTAACTGGTTGGTGTACTCCCTGGAATGCCATCTGGCCCTGATGAATTCAGAGGGTTCGAAAGCTTTTAAAAAGCTTCTGTCACGTCAGCTGTGATGAGGGACAGAGCACCGTCATCTCGTTCCTGAGCTAGCATTACAGATGGAATGGTGATGGTCACCTCAAACTGAGCATAGAAGGTGTTTAGCTCCCCTGGGAGATAGGCGACAGGCTGGCATTACTGCATCTACTCCCTTTATGGTCTCTGAGGTAACATGTCATATTAAATCATTTGTAACAGAAAACTGTTAGGTGGTTGTTAATAACAGTTGGCATTAGTGCTTACAGATGGATGAAAAGTCCATAATTCCCACAACAGCTATTTGTTCTATTATTTATGCAATAATTCACTATTCAAAATTCACCTTATATTCACCTGATATTTTTCACCTCATGCATTCATGACAGTTTATGACATTTAGACACATATATCCTCAAAATCTCATTGTAAAATGATCCATATAGTACAACATTTTAAAGCCATATGTAAATTCATATGTTGATAGATATTACAAATTAATATCAAGGTGACACCACTCATGCTAGAATATTTGGGCACCCTGACTTGAGTATTATCTCCTAGCCTCCACTCTCTCCCTTTTCTTCTCTCTACCTTTATCTTGCTAATAATATAATTCCTTATAGACTTCAAATATAAAAATAAAAACATGGGTTTATTTCAGCTAAATTTGCTGCCAATCCCCTTCTATTCGATGATGAAAGAGTATTTTTGAGAGAAATGCCCTTGTCAATGTTTGTACCCACATCAATTTTTGCACCCACTGGACTTGAACATGAAATCAATAAACTTGTCTTCTGAGTAAATTAAAGTAATTATATTGAGAATTAACACAGCAATATCCAAACTGTCGTACAGCTGATTTGGAGTGAAGGATGGTCTTGTTCCCAATTGGAATTCCATTCCCTGTATCAGTGGTTACATTTCTCATAATCAGAAACTCAAAGTAACAATAGAGATGACATGAGTTGTGATAAGGTGTCAACAGATAACAGAGGCATGAACATAGTCTTGGAAAACGGGAAAGAATATTTACAATGCCTAAATGTTGGCAAGAGCGAGACAATGTTGACGTTTTTAAGCATATTTTCAGCAATTAATCACATGCTATCATGAAGCAGAGAAATAAATGTTGTGTTTTTTAATTAGTGTACAACTTAAACTGAAGAATGGTGAATTGAGGGAGTATAATACGTATTGTGACATGAATGTGAAGTTGCCTTTCTCACCAGTGTCGCACTAGCGCCCCAAATCTAAGCTCGCCGCTTCCAGAATCTTCCGGTAGCATGGCCTGCCCCGCCCCCACACATCTGCCTCCTATTGGACGTCGTCTGGTGAGGTAATTAAGTGCTCAAAGTGCAGCTTGAGGCAGAAGACCGAGGTGAAAGATGACTCAAGCTCTGTTGCCGTCAGTGCTTCACTGTCCTTAAAACACAGGAGCCGGAGGAGGAAAACAGCCAGGAGATGGGTAGAGTGGTCGCAAAAGCAACAATCTCCCGCACCAATTTGTGCCAAGCTGTCACCGCAAAGCCACCACAAAGACAAGGTAGCCAACCAATTGATTTTGAATGTCCCCTGTCCTCTGCCATTTCCTATAAATACAATGGCTGAACCTCTAAACACCTGTCCTGTGTCTGTACCCAGAGTGTCTCTCAGTTTCTCTGGAGGTGTTTTGTTTTCCTCTGACCTTGCGTGGGCTTGATGGGGTTATTGGGTTTGAGGAGTAGAGTCCATGCAGGTGGGTCGAGTGTTTTGGAGGACCAACTGCATATTAGGCAGATGGTTATAATGTAGTATTTATTATGCCAGTGTTATATTTTAAGCAGTACAATTTTTATTTGTAGTCTGAATCATATAAAAGTCTAGCTCTAATTTTTCCAGATTATTATAACTCAAAACACATTCTCGGGAATAATCTGGGAGCAAATAGAGTCAACTGCCTTGCATTGAAACGACAACACATTTTACTGCCTTTCCAGTACACTGATATATTCTAAAAATCTGAATGTTATATGTCACATGGTATAACTTCTTGGCCAGTTTACCACAGATATTTGTGGGTGTGACCCTAGATAACATAAATGCAATGACTCTCTCTCTTAAGCCAATGATCAAATGCTACAGCTACAAGCTAAGAGACGGTTAGGAACATGGCCTATGTAAATTGCAGCATTGGAAAGTCCTAAAATTGCTGAAGCATGCATGTTCAAAGTCGGTGGGAACTGTTTTTAATCGCACTAGTTAATGTACAACTAATTAGGGAAAATCGGAAAAAGACATTGAAAAATTATAAGCAACCCATTCTATCATTATGAAATATTAAAATGTAATCTAATCGAATGACCCAGGATCAGATAAAAAAATTACTCACTGTAATTCAAACGTCTTAAACCTTTTTTGTTTCTATTCCTTACATATTGTTCTCTAAGTTAGAGGAAAAGCACTTGTAACATTGCTGTCATGGAGACAGCACAACACATGTGCTGGGAAAACAAAAAGCTATTAAAGAACTTCAATGAAACAACACAGAAACTATATCACAAGACAGAACAGGAAAATGTTACATTTGGGTGGAACCAAGACTGACAGGAAGCAAAATGGAAGGAGGAGCTTGAATAGAGAAAGTGATAATGAACATTTGTCAGAAACCGGTGCTCCAAATAAGATAGGATAGGGCTAAAATAGGTTTGACACAGAACAATCTATTAACAACAAATATGAATGACATGTTTGAGTGGAAAGTCCTTAAGTTAAGTAATATAAAAATAACTCATTAAAATGATATTATAATTCAGTATGTGAAAGACATGTCTGATGACTCCACAGCGTGATCATATTTGGTTTGTGTTATTGCGTAGATGTGTGTAGTCCAATTACAAGGCACATAATCTGCCAGCCGAACCAGGTTGTAGCGAACCTTTATATATCAATGTGTCGAAAATAAGTTTTGGAAAAACAGTGTACCTTGTTCAAAGAGAACTAAAACTATATCTAAGTTGTCAAAATATTTGAGCAACCTCCAAATAGGTATGTTGGGTATGGTAGAAGATTCCAACGAGAGTGTCAGAGCAATGTCAGGTTATGACAAAGATAGGGACTATGACAGTGCCATCACTCACCTCAACATGTGTCAGTGAAACCGGCTGCAAAGCATTAATAACCAGCTACAGAAATAGAAGCAGAATTTGTCCATTACATTTGGTCACCTACAAAATGGGGATTGTGTATGAACTCGGCTGTAATCCCTAAATGGTTCAAGGTTTCTGGGTGTGAATACAATCCGATAAACGCAGACAGTCTGTACATGAACCCTATTGACCTCTCAGTCATTGTTTCACCTGTAATCCAATGTGCTGGTCTACAGTGTCACTACAACAAATCCTGGGTCACTGTCTAAAATGGTACGGAGTTCACTGTTTCACTGTAGTTATTTTCAATCTACAGTTGTACTGGGTTCGGTCTACAACGTACAAGTATGCTTATTATTACAGACAGAATGTCAAAGCAATCAATCATTGCCTCGTACAACTTGCTTTAATGTGGATTCTTAGAAGTGACAGGGCACATTTATGAAGCGGTACATTAAGTCACTCTCTGAATGCAGTGATGGTGAAATCCATGCCGTTTCTTCCTTCAAAACAAAAGCGGATGTTTACATCTTAAAAGTTTATGGGTTTTACATATGACATCATGGTGGGTGTTACCGTTCAAGGAGTTGCATGTTTTTTCCCCATTGGAGATATTTTCATGTTGTTTTCTGGATCCAGGTGCTCAGGTGTTGGGGAGGGTAGGGGTGTGGCCGGGGTAGAGGGGAAAAGCGACATCTGTTAGTCAACTTACAAAACTTGGTAATTTTAGAGGTCCTTATTTTCTTAATTTACTCACTTCTCCAAAATGTTGTTACATTTTTTAGCAGATTTCCTGCAATTCCTAGCATTTGCAGTGGAGCTGAGAACAACTGCCCTGGAAACATTGCTCACAGAAGCGCAATGAATTCAACCATGTCTTGTCTGG